AAGGTATTGTGTTGAGTTTCGCGCTATGTGCGAATCCGGGGACAAAAAGAGGGGTTTCCATTACAAAAAACACTTCGACCTTGAAATGACCTTCAAAATGAGGTTAAAGGTCAAAGGTTTTTGGTGCATTGGGTGGCCCACTCTATTCTGAACAAATTTTGTAGAGGTCATTTTTCGATATCTTAAAAATTAAAAAAACGCTTTTAGGCAGTTTTTCAAGCATTTGACCTTAAATCGACCTTCTCTAGGCCATGAAAAAAAATTTAAAAATACCGTTTTGGACGTAAAATTTCCTGCTCTTTCCGAATCCGAGGTCAAAAATGGGGGTTCCTATTTAAAAAAACAAAGTTGTCCTTGAAATGACTTTGAACATGACCTCCAAGGTCAAATCCAAGGTCATAGAAACATGGCCCCCTCAAAGTTGAGTAACTTTTGTCTGAAACTTTTTTCGATAAAACTCACTCCAATCTAGATATCTGAGTGGATCACTTAAAATGGGCCACCCTGTATATATATGCTTTTGCGTATGACTTCCTTTAAAAGCCTTCTGTGGTGTGTTTCATAATTATTTATTTGCTATTGGTATTTGAGTCCAATTGTGCAGTCATGTAAATATGTGTCTAAAATGGAAAAAATGATAATTACACATTTAAATTGTAATTGCAGTAGATGATGATAACAAATTGACTAAAAAGAGTTATTTAAAATCATTTTTTTTTAATAACTATATATGTTTAAGCTTTTAATCCGTATGCCTTACGATACCAAGTAAATTCATAAATGTATTATCTGCTACCTTTAATAAACAGTTTAAATATTACATAATGACCCGTCAATGACAAAAGTTGTAGATAATAATTTTTTTCCGAAAATAGGTAAATACTTCTAAGTTCAAAATGTTCATAAATTAATCCTTCTTCTCTGTATTTCTTTCTTTCCTATATCTCAAATGACGTTCTTGTTGTTTCTTTCTACTGGGATGCATTTACTGTTGGTTGTACGTATATATAAGTTGTCGTTGTCTACTGTCTATCTCTATTAAATATTGTATATACAATTTTCAAAGTCTACAGTTTTCTGGAAGTTGAATCCTGATTTCAAAATGTTGTTTGTCTTAAGCATCATCCCATGTTTGTGATGTCTATCTTCGTTTTCAATATTATCACTCTATGCTTGCAACCCTATTTTCTTGTACATTCTTCATATATACATTTCAGCTATATCCTTCAGAACAAGCACTAAAAATCACTGTTTTTTAATTTTTTCAATAAAACTTTCAGCACATTTTATATAAATTAAATGTGAATTTACGACTAATTTGTATCACGGAAACACCAATTTTCAATTTATTACTACTCACCAATAAATATAATACCTCGTGTTTACTTCAAAATATTTCATCTAGATGTATCTTTAAAGCGAAAAATATATCTTTTATTAAATGTCTATCTACAAATGTCGATAAGTAAAATATAAAAATTTTATTAATTTTTAAGAGTTTTATTTTTATGACGAACTGAATAATCTTACGAAATAGAAACATGTAACACGCTGCCAAACAAAATTAGAGAAATTTAATCTATTGATCATTCAAATTATCGACCTACAATTACAGCCAAATTATTTAGTTAGTCTAATAATGTTAATTGTTAAAATGATTATTCAAGATGAATCGAAGAGCTGATTTGCAAAGGCAGAATTTTGAAAAAAATTGAAAGAGAAAACGTACGGCCAATCTACCCTAGTTTCTCCTATATATATACTATTTGATAAAAAAATTATCTATACGAACGAATTTTGCTTCAATGACACATGGAATATAAACAAAGGGCTAGATTAATCACATTATAGATATTTCAACTATAGTTTACCTTTTTCAATTTTTGATTTTCCACTGCAATATTTATATGGGCTTGAGTATTGATATGGTATTTTTCTATCTCCCCATCGTTATTTTTGAACTATATCTTTACAGGGATATTTTTGGAATTTAAAAATCTCTTGCACTTTGTCGTAGTTGCTTACGCTCAAATTTGATTGCATAGACTGTTTGTATAATCAGGTGAGGTAAACGCTCTATTTGTTCTCCTCTGATACTTCAGAACCATTTCGAACTACAAAAATAATTTATTAATAAATAACTCGCGTGGTCATTTACTTTTTATCGGCCAACTTGACCCGAAAAAAGTCGATCAGTATGTCCCAAGTGTGTATGTCAATTTCTATGTTCAACTAATAATGTTATAAATTGTAAAAAAAAATAAATGAAAATCATAGATAGGTAATAAAGTATTCTCTACAAATTACTTTAAATGGTTTTTTTAAATCATCAATTTTAAACGAGTTATTAAATTTTTTTAGAAACAACATTTTTACGAAATAGATGGCAATAATTTTCAAACTTACTTATTTCCGTGCTAAATGATGTTTTCCAACTAAAAGTAAATACAAACATTCCTTGGGCTTATCTACGTCATTGATATCATCCTTGACAGGATCTTCAATTGGTTCAAAATTTAGTTAGATATATATTCAATAAAATTTGTAATTTTATGATTTACAAAATAAAAAAGTATATTATTTAGACAATGTAGATATTATTCACAAGAAAAATCGTAGATGACATTCTTTTCTCGTTTTTTTCGACAAGAGAAAAAAAATAGTCCACAACAGGTCTTCTTGATTCAACGCTCGCGGCGGTAACCTGATTCAGCCCCGAAAAGAGTCAAGGCAAACTAGGGCGAAAAGCTATTCGTATGAGGAGCTTTCAGTCAATTCATTATATAGAAAAAAATATATTAAGTATATACATACAAAAACCATTAAAATTGCCAGAAGTTTCTTGTAACTTGAGCACCTCGTAAGTAAAGCAAATAATTAAAAATCTTAAAAGTAAAGCTATAAGAGATTCAAGCGTCTATTCGCGAATTTTTCAATGAAAAATAAAAGGAAAAGAAAAATATAGGAATCATCGGAGAAGAAACACTTTTTAAGAGCGAGTACAAAAAAAGCAAAAGAAATAAAGTTCTGAAAAAAAGAAAGTATCGGAAAATTCAAGAGCAGTAACCCCTTAAAGAGGCAACTAAGTAAGCGAAGCAGTGTAGTAGGTGGACATCGTCAGTTAAGATCTTGTCCCTCTCCCTCTCTCTCTCTCTCTCTCTCTCTCTCTCTCTCTCCATAGAACAACATTTAACCTCAAGAACTGTGCGCGGTCGAGTACTGAGATCGTTCACGTGGCCGACGCATCGTTGCCTCTTACTACTTAGAGACGCTCTCTCGCTCGTTTTCGCTACTTGGCCCCGCTTCCATACACACTGTAAAGATTCGTTTACCTACACCATTTGACCAAACAGAAAGACAGAGAGAGAGAGAGAGAGAGAGAGAGAGAGAGAGAGAGAGAGAGAGAGAGAGAGAGAGAGAGAGAGAGAGAGAGAGAGAGAGAGACAGCGAGAGTGAGAGAGAGTGGAGGGGGGAGCGCTCAGAGTCAATTATGAATTATAGTCGATTTTAGCGAGTTTTGCCCTCGACTCTTTCAATTTTAATTTTGCTTGGTTAGCTTGGGATTATTTCGCTGAATATTGAATTCTTTGGGATGTAGCTTCTTAAAATATCAGATAATCTGATGCCAACAAGGACAGACAACACGATCTTACTCGACATAGTCTTGTAACAAAGCTAAGATGAAAAGCTTGCACTCGCTTCTGATATTTCCGACAGAAAATGAAGATACGAAGTGATCGATTTAATTAGAGCTGCGCATACTTCCCCAGCCGAGTATTCTCGACCAAACAGTTCAAATTGAACTATTCAATACCTGGAAAATCCAATCATGCACAATCGGATGCCTCTGCTCGATCTGCATCGCGCGAACTCTCCCTCTCTCGTAGGCGACGCCAAGCTAAGGTCGTTAATTAGGACTCGAGTAAACACACAACTATCAGTAGACAAGCCAACGGCCAATGAAATGCATCGTCGGCGCTGTCGTGTTCTTGCAAATATGCAGACCAAGCGCGAATCTATCGTCGACGTACATACGGACAGCGATCCCACGGCGATTTTCGGTCGACGACGACGCTGCACACTTGGCATTGTCCAGACGCGCGAAATCTGAAATCCGATGCGCTGACAGCGATCGATCCCGCACAATATTGCTGCCGTTACTGCTGCTGCTGCTGCTGCTGCTTGTGTATACGTGGACTCGTTGGTCGACCGGAAATTTTAGCTGCTGATGACAGATATCTATTGCTGACTATGGATGCTCTTGCGCTCTCGTGCTCTCATTCGACTCCCCCCCTCTTCTCATTCTCTCTCTCTCTCTCTCTCTCTCTCTCTCTCTCTCTCTCTCTCCCCCCCTCATCGTTACTTAGCGAACGGGATTCCAAGTGTATATTTTTGAAAGTGGCTAGCTATTCGCACGTGAGTGTGCAAGGGCTTTAGGACTTTCTAATCGTGGGGGGGGTTGTAATTGTACATCTATGGATACAGCGTTTGTGTTGTATTGCCTTTCATCTGCCTATCTGTGCTATTTTTGGAGGCAAAAGATTAGACGCACGCATAGGGATGTCTCTAGTGACGCCCGTTTCATGTCTTTTTTTATATACAAGTATAATTAAGGCTTTGAATATCCTGATATTTTCGTCAGGTAACATTCACGATATGAAACGCCATTAGTCGTGTGATTAACATAAATGATTCATGGCTCATTTTGATCAATCGTATGTGCAATCTCATACTGCTAATCATAGCCTTCATTCTCACTTTAACGACTAACTTTAGCTCACAGCAAAGCTTTCATCAAAACAACTATCGTATGTATCTCTATCAAGTCACACCGTCGCGCTGTAAGAGAGAGAAAAAAAGACACTCTTAACATGGAACAGCTGTATTCAAAGAAAACAATCTATCGTCGGACAGTTTTTTGACAAATCACGAAAGAAAAAGACACAATACCTGAAAGAAAAACGTCTCGGTTTTTGCGACGACGTCTTTGCTGTTCTCAGGCTGTTAATGTACCACACAAATGGAATGTGTTCACGTTCATCACACCGACGTTCTGCGACCATTGCGGCTCGATGCTTCACGGCATCACAAACCAGGGACTCAAGTGTTCAGGTATAATTATTGGCAATCAAAACAAAACAACAAATTAAGCAACAACAAAAAAGTACAAAAAAAACACATTCTTCGCCGACAATCAATTATTATTACTACCCGAGTAGAAAGATGACAATTCGTTGTCCACTCATTTATAATGCATTGTAGATCTGGCTCTATCTTTCTCACCTTCCTCGAATATTCTCGCATACTAACCAATCGATAGCAAATTATCTATCTAATTTGGAAAGCCGATGGATAACGAACTGATCCACATCAGCATATACACCCTTCGCGTGTAATATGTGCTGCCTTTGTGGTTGGTAAAGTGAATTTGGTCGAGTTCAAGGGGCAAATTCTGCCAATAGAGATTGACATCACTGTGCATTTCCTTGCCGGAAGTAGAATCAAACAGAAATCTCTATTGACAGTTTGTACCAATTGATCTTTTGACAACCTGCAATGGAAAATTGTATGCTCGGTGAACTGCTTCGTCGTTCGTATCTCTTAAAATCGACCCTCCCATAGCAAAATGAATAAACTAGTGTTGATTCACTTTGAGATATATATATATATAGTTAAAAGTACATACACGTATGAGTATTATCACGTGGTCGTTTGAAAAACTAAACATACATCTAACTTGTATTTAATCGTAAGCCTTAGGTTACTACACGCACGAATAAGCCTCTGTCAATATTAGTTGCTTTTCACAAGTAGATGTGTACAATCTCCGCTGCTGTAATCACTTGCTCGCTTCTGCAAAGTACACCTCAATCAATGCTTCTTCTCAGCTCACGAAGGCCTCTTTTTTCATGTCAGTCCGAACAAGGCTTCCCGGTAGTTTGTTCGTTGTAATCAAACTTGGAAATACTTTTCCGTTAGAGTCCAAATGCAATTGTCCCCAACGAAATGCAAGATACATTCCCGCCCGTTTGGCCTTTGTCTCTTTTGTTCCCTTTATCTATCCAGCACCTGATTCACTATCAAATTGCATTTCTCCGATGCCACCGGTCTCTTCTAGAAATCGAGTCTCCTGTACGCGCAACGCTCATGAAAAATTCATGAAATTTTGCGTTCTTTTATCACGCTACCACGCGCTTGATAGACTCATACGCTGGAAAAAAAAATAAAAAACGCGAACGCTGATGCGTCGTGTTATTATTTTACATCATCGCTCGCGTATTCGTAAAAAGAATGCGTTACGGTATTTGCATTTTAACGCGACGTATCGAGTAGTGCGCGTGCTTACAAACGGAACTAACGCGCGGACCCTGTAAAAATTGGAATGTTCCTTTGACACGATATGTTCTTACAAGTGATTTGACATCGGGCCACGCTAATGGACTTTACATTAAAATTCAATTTCAAAGTGCAATGAAAAATGATTCTTCGTGGGCTTTGTTTCGCAAGGGAATGTAATATATAGGGGGTATAAAATCCTTCGGACAACGAATGCCGGTTAAAGAGAAAAAAGAAACGACGAAGATTAATGATGGGACATTTTTTTAATTTCAAACCGAAGACGCAGGCATAAAAAGATACTTATTCGTTATTAAATCTTTGAACCATTTGACGACCCAGTGAATTTCTATTGGCTATTTTGTCCAGTGTTTTTCCGAAATTCCGCGCGCTACGTAGACGCGATTAATTACCAAAGAAATGGACACACACTGTAACGGTATTGCGAACATTAAAAAATAGTGATCCACAACGATATCACAATACGCGTTAGGTTTCGCTGGTGATCAAAGGATGTATATCGCTCGGGGCACGCGGAGCAATCTAATAACCGCGCAACGTCCATCCTTGCTTGGGAGTCATCACTTACCGGACGCATCGGCACGCCAAAAAAAAAAACTTAAGAATTGTCAGTGTCGAGTGCTACTCGAGACAAGTGGAGTGGACGTCGCACTGGTTTCGCGCGAGCCCGCGGGGGTCCGTTCTCAGCGTCGAGTGTTCGCCGGCGCTAACGCGTTACCAGAGGCAGTCGTCGCACCCGAGCACACGTATTCGTCGATATTTCGTCGATGCGAGCGGCGCATCAATCGCCAATATCCATCGATATAACGCGTCCATTTTCCAATTCAGCACATAGCGGTCAGAATTCGCGCTGATTAGATGCTGGGCGTCGATTCGAGCGGCAGTGAAGAACAAAAGAGAATTTTCGCAATGCGATAGGCTAGGCAGTAGATGTTGCGTGGTAGCTTGGCCATAACATCATCGTTGGAATGACGTAAATACCCTGCTAAATCGAAAGTCCCACGGATATACCGTTATTGTAGATCCTTGTTACCATCTCTCTTTGGCGTTTCCTCCGGAATCACGTAGCTTATCGCACTCAGCCTACTTATTTTTTTAACATAACCTTTTCGTTGGTACTCCGGCTGATCTCACCCCTTTCTTTTTAATCTCGTTTGCGCCCTTTGCGTGGAAATCTCCACAATAAGCAGGGCGCAAGCTTGCTATGGTTGCCCTTTTAAAACTTTTCCCAGCACAGAAGAAGATGCCTTGTAATTCTGACTATTCTGATTGGTAATTTATTAATGCTATATTATACTAATAACTCGTGAGAGTGTCGCCGACTTGTAAATAAATGATTAGTGCATGCCTTAAACTCGTCCGCTGAGAGCTTGCATCGCTATGCATATATAGCGAGTAGTAGTACATCACTTTTTGCATTAATAGTTGTATATATGGTATTGACATTTTTATCACCACTCGTTTTTTTATTTTATGGCATACACACCCAATCTTTTTTTTCTTCGGCATTGCCGTTTATATTTGCATTGAAATGTCACTAAATTAACTCTATTTTAAATAACACGATGATAAATACATTTTAAGAGAATGTGATTGTGTATAATAAAAGTTTGAAAGCTTATTTATTTTGACGTAGCACTGGTATTTGAATATTTTGAGGAACAATGAAAAATAAATAAGCTTTTATTGAAATAAAAAACATATCGCGGATAAAACAAGAGCATTTAAAAGCGTCAAAGAATTATGTGAAAATGAATTTGAATTGTATGCCATCTTGACTCGAGTCCTATCTCGAATTGTAATATTGACGGTATACGGAAAGAAGAACCGGCAGATCGTTTTGATTGAAATCAGTGAAGTGAAGCTCGAGTCGCGTGAATAATACGAAAAAACGACTGGAAAATATCGTAGGCGCTTGAAAGAAGAAGTAAATTCGAAGCAATGAATCGCATAAAAGAAAATAATCGGTTAGAAAATGTAAAATTTAAGAAACCAATCGACGATCTGCTGGACTGAAATTTGACTGGATTGGTCCGTTGTGGAATATCGAATAAAAAGTCAATCTGATGGGCTTCAACAGCATGTGACATGAACGTGCACAAACGATGCGAGCAAAGTGTGCCGAATCTGTGCGGATGCGACCACACGGAAAGACGCGGCCGCGTAGAACTCGACATATCCTGCAGCGGCAACAAGCTGTCAGTTGGAAGTAAAGTAACATTCTATCGTACATGTGTACTATTATCAGTGGCCGCGACAAATGTCGTCGCGTTGCACGAGGCCACGACAGCATTTTCACGAGCCGCGATGATTGATTGCAGTCATACAAGGAAGGAATCTCATCCCGATGGATCCCAATGGCTTGTCGGACCCGTACGTCAAGCTGAAATTAATCCCCGACGGAGAAAACATAAAGAAGAAAACAAAGACAATCAAGTCGTCGCTGAATCCAGAATGGAACGAGACAATCACTATGTAAGTCATCGATCGAATATAAACCAGCGAATGAGCGAGTAACGGTGCGTTTGTCGGGCGTAATTAGCGACCTGAAACCCGACGACAAGGACAGACGATTGCTGTTAGAGGTGTGGGACTGGGATCGAACGTCGCGCAACGACTTCATGGGCTCGCTGTCGTTCGGCATATCGGAACTGATGAAGGCGCCGGCGAAAGGCTGGTTCAAGCTGCTCACCCAGGAGGAGGGCGAGTTCTACAACGTGCCGGTGCCCGAGGAGGGCGTCGATCTGGCCGAGCTCAAGACCAAAGCGAGGGTACGCTCGGTACGTACGGGGCTAGTTTGCTTTTGCGAGTGCAAATTTTACTCTTTCAACGTCTTATTACTAACCATAGTATTAGTTATAGCCTGTGATGCTACAATTAAACATAGACATTGGCGTAGCTATTTGCGATGTGCACGCACACACAAACGCACACAATCTTCGTGTGGCTGTATTAAACTCTCGCTCTCTGCTTCGGAATATGTAGTGTAGCTGTAGTGTGCTTTTCTTGCATTATTCAACGACAGGCCAGATGATGGACTTTTGTACGCGCAGCTCGCGAAAGGAAATTCACTCGTTCTTTTCTATAGATGTATTATTTTTCTGCTCTTCTCTTTTGTTTTCAATATTTTTTTGGACGTTGAATTTTCCTTTTGTTTTTGCGCTCTGTTTCTTTGACACTTATGCATGCGACAGTTGACATTTTCATGACTCGTTTTATGAATGTTTCTTTCGATTGTCGCAAAAAAATAGTAGTCAACACAGAGTATATTTAGTTGATTGTAAAGTATGATTTTTTTAGTGGCACTTGAAGTAATTTAGTTGAATTTATTTTGAGTTCAAATCAAGAAAATATTTATCAGTTATGTCTTTGGTTATTTATAGTTATTTCAGTTCAATTATGGAATGTTAATTTATGCAGAAATTGAATTTAGATAAGGCCGATCTAACTCGCGATTATTATAGAAAACCTCAGTCACGAGAAAACCTCCAACGACGCAAGACAAAGAAGTACCACACAACATGGGCAAGAGCGATCTTATCCGAGCGTCGGATTTCAACTTCTTGCAAGTCCTTGGCAAGGGCAGTTTTGGAAAGGTGAGGTCGTTGTAAAATTTTATTGCAAAATTATGATTTACAATAACTTACAACTAAATTTTTCAAAAAAGGTTCTTCTCGCCGAAAGAAAAGGAACAGACGAGCTTTATGCAATCAAAATCCTGAAAAAAGACATAATCATTCAAGATGACGACGTTGAGTGCACGATGGTCGAGAAACGAGTGCTCGCGTTGTCGAACAAACCGCCATTCCTGGTGCGACTTCATTCCTGCTTCCAAACAATGGTCAGTCTCTTTTTCGGATTCCCCCGCCCAATTCCAAAGCTCGCCGTTACTTTTTAGCCGAGCATTCGGAGCGAAGAGCAAGCTCGTTATATTCTCTCGCTTAAGTGCGTTTCAGCTAGAAATGCAGAAAAGTCCAAAACTTTTTTCACACTCGGACGCGTACTCAATGAAAATACTTTGAAAAAGCACGTAAACGCGAAGCTAAGACGACTTTAAAAATACATTGATAATCTCTCCTCGTGCATTTTCACAAACACCTCTGTCAAACATAACGACAGAAACTTTAGCAATTCGTATGCAAAATGATCAAAGAATCCCAACGCATAATTAAAAATAATAAGATGAACAATATTTTTTCCAGGATCGACTCTACTTCGTTATGGAATACGTAAACGGAGGTGATCTCATGTTCCAGATCCAACAGTGCGGAAAGTTCAAGGAGCCTGTAGCAGTGTAAGTATATTCAAAAGTAGTCTTCGATAAGGGAGTAATTGTGATTTCTCATTGCGCAGAAATTATTTTTCTTCGTTCTTTCCTTGTATTTTCCAATCGCCTGCTTCCCTATCGATAATCAATATTTTAGAACGGCATCAGCTTATTGCAACCGTTCGTAATACTTGTGATCGAATGAAGAAGGGTATACTTACGTATGGGATGTATCGTCGAAAGTCTGCAGCGATTTGAGCGCGACAAGTCAATCGATATAGCAACTGTATAAAACCCGTTGTTTTGCAGATTCTACTCCGCGGAGATTGCCATTGGACTGTTCTTCCTGCACTCGCGCAGCATAATCTATCGCGACTTGAAGCTCGACAACGTCCTGCTGGATCAGGACGGCCACATCAAGATCGCGGATTTCGGCATGTGCAAAGAGGGCGTGAGCGGCGACAAAACGACCAAAACCTTCTGCGGCACGCCAGATTACATCGCACCCGAGGTGAGAGAGGTTTATCACGTCATCTGGTCGCGGACTGGCAAGGCTCGCTGCGTGAGCGCGCGCCCGAGCGACGGCTTATCGCCTGGCAAAGATCTGCGGCATATTCTCTTGTCTCGGCTGCGAAGGCTGCGCGTGCGCCCGCAGGGATACGGCTACTATTCGGTCCCTCTACCCCCCCCCCCCCCCCAACTCCTCCGTTGTGCCGTCGTCTTAACAATCTTGTCGGCATTCAATTTAACTGCATAACTCGACATTGTCTACGATTCAACGACTCGGCATCGATTACATTAATCGTTTCACCGAATGCTCGGACTTTCTAACGAAACGAATCGCTTGTCTCGCAGATCATTTTGTATCAACCGTATGGCAAATCCGTGGACTGGTGGGCTTACGGAGTTCTTCTTTACGAGATGCTCGTTGGCCAACCACCTTTCGACGGTGAGGATGAGGAGGAACTCTTTGCCGCCATCACGGACCAAAATGTAAGCTACCCCAAGGCCCTTTCCAAAGAAGCCAAGGACGCCTGCAAAGGGGTGAGTTTTCTTTGATCTTTGATTAAGCGCTACTATACCAGAGCCCCTGTACAAACACAACGTACGTAACTATGGCGAGTTGTCGTCGCGCGCGAGAAAAGCTGCCCGAGTGCATAACGCGTCCGGAATGAAATTAGTTTAAGTAGAGTACAACGCTGTATAGTCAGACATAAGAACGAGCAGCTTTCAAAAGGCAAACAATGAATATCAATTTTCAATGTAACTACCGAATGCCGCTAGTAAAATTGACGAGGCCGTTTGCAGTTTTTTTTTACTGTTTCCAACACATAAAAATTTAAACGATCCAAGGTCTAGATGCGTCGCACCGTCACATGTGCACGCGCGAAATCCGCCGCACTCGCAAGATTTATTTTTACGAGACGCGCTCGTGAATTGAGCTATAAACGGCAATAGGTGCGAGGGCCACGCGATCCCGAGCGAAGTCATTTGTGCGACTGTTTTTGATGGCTCTTATTCTTCTTCTCCATGCAGTTCCTCACGAAGAATCCGAGCAAGAGACTTGGCTGCGGACTGCGCGGCGAAGAGGAAGTACGAAGCCACTCGTTCTTCCGGCGCATTGACTGGGACAGGATTGAGAATCGAGAGGTTCAGCCGCCGTTCAAGCCAAAAATCGTAAGTCGACTATTTTCTTTCTAGTCTGATAATTTCCCTATGAATCCCGCTCTGAAGCATTAACCAGTGTCTTTTCGTCTAAAGATATTTTGTAAAGTTTACAATTACTCTACGTATTACACACAGTCGTGCAAAAAGAAAATTAAACTTTTAAAACAGTAATGAGTAGTCCATGAAAGTAAGCGTTCGACTTGCTTTGGAAAAGCTTGTAGAGAACTTTGAGAATTGACGGGGTACCTGCGTGGTTAAGATGAAAGTAATTAGAAGTTTGTATCCAAAGATGAGAGTTTTAAAAAGTTAATCAACGGAATCAAGAGAATCGCCCAATTTTTCATCGACGTGCGGCTAACTAGTCTCCTTTATTTGTTACAGAAACATCGAAGGGACGTGAGCAATTTCGACAAGCAGTTCACATCGGAGAAGACGGACCTCACACCGACAGACAAGTTGTTCATGATGAACCTTGACCAGACGGAATTCATGGGCTTCTCATTCCTCAACCCTGAATACATTCAGCATATATAATGTGTTTGAAACGAAGCCAACTAAGGAAAAACAAGAAAAAAAAAAGAGAAAAAGTCAAGAAGGAGAACGCTTCCCTCGAATCTTTTCTTCGCAGATGCGTCTCTCTCCCTGTCTCTCACCGCCTTCATATACTCTCTCCGGAAGGAGTTCTGAATATATATGTGTGTATACGTATATACACACACGCATATTCTTCCTCTCTCGTATCTCGCGGTTCTCTAGGTACCGCGAATATATTATATAGATGTATGCGCGCCACCGCTACCGGACGAAAACGACGCGGTCTGTTTCTTACTCTCGCCTCACACTCGAACTACACACTTGTTTTGCTTGTACATTGAGGAGTAAAATACTGCTGAGCAAGAGGAGATAATGAAGTATATTGATAAACGAAAAGAAAGAAAAACAAAAAAAAAAAGCTAATTAGAAAGTTACTAAATAATGGCGCCGAGCGCAACATTAATTTATCTCGTTCTTCGACTCGTTTTGTCGAGAATCCTTATAACGAGATTATTTTTGTTTTTATGATGTATTTTAACGGTATATAAAAAACAAATGAAAAACAAATGTATATTCGACGGGAAGTGAGAAAAAAAGATAGGAACACGATCAGTTACAACTTGCGCTAAATATTCTATTGATTGCGCGACGTGAAATTTCGCGCAGGTCGCGTTTGAATGTGCGTTTAATTGTAAAGCGGAGAACTGATAATTTTTAAGCGTATGTAGCTACGTATAAATCTTGGCAGAATCCGCGTGTGACAGATACAAATTTACGAATCTATCTTTTTTGCGACAATGAAAAAGCTGAAAGGGTGCAGTATGCGCAAGATAGACAATTAATGCCAATCACGTATTCTACGTGAAATATGTTGCCAAGTCATATATTAGTCTCCAATAATATTCAATTTATTTTGACAATTTAGCAATAAGCGTCGAGAGTTTTATCTGATTGGAAAGAATATCACAGATACGTGTTTTTAAAATAAAGCTGCTAATAGATCCTCGTTTTCTTCACACATTATATGCATTTACTTCAGTAGTCGCAACTATCGCCTTCCAATCTTAAATATCGAACGAATGAATGGCTATATTATATATATTCAATTACATTATATATACATAAACGCATGCGTATCGTTACGTATACATCAGATTTCTATTGATATTACAAGCGTTGCACCAATCGATGGTGTATCTTTATAGCTTCTATTGTTAGAACAACCAAGCAAGGGCATTGATTGTGACAATGATGGTTAAACTGTGTAACTGGTTATAGAATCTGCAGTGTATTTCGATGTACAAAGAAAAAAGATCATAGTGCTGTAAAGTGCGGGATATTTGCTTTATTCGAGAAAATGTTGCTGAAGAAGAGATAAGTAAGACAAGGAAAAAGCCAAATCGGACGTGAGAACAGATACTGATAAATAAGTGACCGGTTACTTCATTTTTTCTTCCACTCGATCTATTTGCGTTATTCTATTTTGTTTTGTGCCGAAAACCTATTCAGCCTTATTCTCGTACATGTTGTAACATTCGCGAATAAAAAAAAAAGAGAATATATAGCCCGAATAAGCGAAGAGAAAAGAAAACAACTTTTAGGTGCTTCTTTTTATACTCGTCAACGCTATAAATATTACGAGGGTACATATTACTACATAAATTACAAATAACAATATACAATTGTAGATTTTCTGTAGCCAGCTCTCAGGGAATTAGATTGCATAAGTTGACCTTATTGAGTTTTACAATGACCAATAGTACTACGTGAATCTTTTCTTGTCTTCTTCACGCAAAGTATTTTCTTGGTTTAAGTTTTACTCTTGCCGTCAAAAATTCGTAACTCAAAAAATCAAAGTACTAGAATACTCGACAAGTTCAATCAAAATCAATTGTAACGGATATTTCTATAAGTAGTTGTCGAATCGGTTCAGCCATATCAATTAAACTAGAATCTCGAAACTTGCAAGCTTTTGAATCTGAATTCAGCTAATCGCTAAATGTGTTAGTAACGAAAACAATATGTTTATTAGAATACTGTCAAATAACGTCTAGTATGAGTGAGAATATAGTTATTTTTAGGCTAAGTATTATTTCTTTCATGGAGTAAACTTGCAACGTGGCATGCCTTGCTACTTGTATTATTTATCCATGGAAGTCCGGCAAATCAAAGTACCTATGTACATTAAAATATTAAAAAAATGAAAAAAAAATATTTGTCATTTACTATATACAAGTCTTGCACTATGCGAAACGCTAGTTCCCTTTGACGAACATGCGATATTCCAAGTACGCGCGAGTAGATCACATATTATACGGATATTTTAGATTTATGCGAAAAAAACAAACCTACGTATATATGAATAAATGAATGAATATGAAGAAACCAATACATGATTCTTACTAGAATGTTATGCTCATATGTACCTCGACGAAATAAAGAAATATTTCAATCATTGTAAACCGTTTGAAGGGAAAGTAAATTCTGGTGTACGCAGGAGCTCGCTTATTCGTTTTAAGTGATCGAACTTTAATCGGCGGCTTTTTCGTCAATTTTTATCGGTATATTTGAATTTCTTTCAATGATGTTTTATTCGATTCGTATAAGATTACGAAAGTTTCATTCGAACGCGAATGAGCAGTTTTATCTACTACAAGAATTATGAATCTCTGAATTTAGTCATATACATTCAAACGTAATTTGACAATCCATGTAAATGTTTTTAAGTCTGTGCTCTTTTACTGTAAATACTATTAAATACGTGGATTAAATATTCTTCATATAAATAATTTAAGATTTGAAAAAGTCAAGAAAATGTCGATAAAAATTGTTGATATAATAAAATCATTTAAAAAAACATATTTTTAAGAATTTAAGATCAGACAAATTATCAAAGTTTATGAATTCTTAATCAAATTTCTGAATATCAATGAAAATATCTTGATGATATCAACAGCATACTAAATAAATCTAGTCAACTTCGATTTTTGTGAATATATATACATATTAACTTTTACTAAAAAAATATAATGATGGAGATTCCTGTAGAAAAAACTCGCGAGAGAAAACAAATTCAAAAATATTTGAATGGCAAGTGTTTCTTCTATTTAAAAAACTTTTTTCAAGGCTTCGAAGTACTTTATTTTAAATCTCTTAATTTCAATTCATTAATTATGTACCATCATTGAGAATATGAAATATACTTAATAATCTCATTTCTGGATTTCATTGTACTCGTTTGTACCCTCACAACATATCCATCGTGCCAGCCAACAATATTTACTATGTTTTCTAAAGGTTGAACAAATTAATAGAGTAGACGCAATGTTCCGTCGTTTATTTATTTTGTTTCTTTTTACATATATACTCAATAGGATGTTTTAATGCATCGTTAACGAATCAAAGATTCATTTCACTCGCGGGAATTCTGCAATTTGCAATCACGAAGTCAAAAAACTTGCGTAGATAGGCACGTGTTTACGACAGACATTGCAAAAAACTCATTTAAACTATTAACGATACTCATGTACATGCGTGACAGAACTGACATTTGGACATGTTCGATAACTTATTAAAAAATAGTTTCAGCTATTTACAATGTTATACTTTTGTCGTATCTGAATTGTCATTAAGATTAATAGTACATTACGCTACTTGGGAGTACAGTAGGCAAAGTGATGTTCACGCAGCGCATGTTTGCCTACTGGTACTACCGTGTCACGTATACTTGTTTTCCGCACGCCCATGTAAAGGGCTGACGTTGCGCCCTCAGCAGGCGACCCAGAACCATATTGACTACGCCTATAAGTAAGGTGCCTCGCGTACTTACGCGCGATGCGCTGTTTTACCGCTCGAGCCGTCAGCCAAGAGTCGCGCATGCGCGAGGTACTTTACTCTCTAGGCTGTCGGTGCGGTCCCATACTCCTTCCTGCTGTGGAGGGTGCACAGTCCACCACTTGTACGCGCAGTGCGGGCAAAAATGAAAATTGTTTTCCTTTTATCACCGACGCGAGAAAATAGGTGCTTTCGTTTGCATTGTTCTAGCGTGTACTAGAAGATTTTCAATGAATACAGGCACTTCTTCGTTTCTACAACAGAGTTGCTTTCGTCCTTAACAACTTGACGTTCAATCGTAAAATACTCGAACGGACTTTTGCAGTTTTGCGCATAGAACGCGAGATGGTTCAAACGCGCACGTGGCTATTTAAGTTTCGACGTGCCCATAACATTAACTATCCGCAAATATGGAAGTATTGCAGAAACTGCTCAACAATAAACTTATGTACAGAGTGTTTTCTATGTTTTCCTTTTTCCTATTCGTGAATACGGGCAGAATTATTATCAACAGTGGCACTAACTAATTCGCAGCATAAAAAAAAATGATTAAATCTGATTCTACAGAATTAAAAGACAAGAGGTACTGTAAATAATAAGATTACCTACATAATCGAAAGGACGGCGTCGATCATAGACAAATAATAATCAAGCCATCGTCTCAGGGTTATACTCGCTCGCGCGGGTCAAGCGAGTAGACGCTACATCATGCCGCGAGCCTGCTCATCGGCCGAATACTGCAAGGTGCTCATAGAAATTCGAACAACCTGATCAACTTCAGATCATCGACTGTGTGGCTCTGTGTGTGTGTGTGTGTGTGTGTGTGTGTGTGTGTGTGTGTGTGTTTGTTTGTCGCCAATGATGCCAATTTCAAATGTTGTTGTCTGCGCTTCGCAATCTTTCTCGTCTCTCGACGATCCAAATTGGAAGCGCGCACGCGCGTGAGCTTTTAACGTGAAAGAAAAAGAACAAGAAAAACAACTACGAGAACTAGACACACGAATGGTGTACAAAATAATTATTCTCATTTCGTACGCATCTCAAGTCGCAATCGCTTCGGGCGAGAATTCACATTGGCTCGCTCGCGTGCGGTAATTGAAAGCGGCATCAAATCTAGCATGTATCTCTCGGCACAAGGTAATAAAGCTAAATCATTAATGCGCATATATATCGAGTGTACAAGCTGATGACTAGCACAGTAAATGACGGAGAGCAGAAGAAGCGATTCTCAGCTCCGGCAAGAGACAAACAAAAAACAATATTAAGAGACGAATCGTTGCCGATGAAAATTAGCGCTTCGGGTGACGTTTCTTATGAGTGGCAACGTCGCGAAAAGCTTTGGGCAGAGCTGGTGTGCTGTCCCAAACCGTGCGGCAACGCGTGGACTTTCGCCAGTGAGGTAGTTGAATGCCAAGCCGCTGACAGTCGTGCGCGTATGCCATGAACGACTCGCAGTAGCATTCCTCGTTCGGGCACTCGCACATGTCCTGCAGGCAAGCCTTGTAGTACATCGTTGGATTGACTTTGCGGTGGCACGACTCGAAGATCGACGAGCGCAGTCTGTTGCACAGCCTGCGAACAGCAAGATTGTTTCTTAAAGCTCCAGTGCTTTTCGTCAACTATTTAATTTAGATTGCTTCGGTCAAAAGATGCAAACGGTTATCGACACAGGAACCCACCTAAAATTCGGCAAATTACCGTAGGTTTTACAATGTTATCTTTTCCAGGTTTTCGATCTGTACTACTTGAGACCAAGGTTCTCGCATGATCTGCGACAATTATTCATCGACATAAAAAAATACAGATATTTTCTCGAAAATACAAATACTTTCACTAGAAGTGAATGTTACATTAAATTTTGTGTCTGTTTCGAAATTCTTCAAAGCTATATGAGTACTTTATAAATTCCATTCGTGTGAGTAAAATGAATTAGAAATTGATTAAAAAGGGGGAAGAAACGAACCTGTGGTCCTTTCTGAGCTTGCAGCCGCGTTTTAACGTTTGACTCCTCTTCCTCGAGCAGACCTTTTTCGCGCCAACCGCCCATGAGTTACCAAAACTCACTGGATCGGTCATCATCTTGCCTTTTCTGTTCAAGAAGTCGTCTTTCGGCACAGAGTTGAAGTTGCCGCACAAACCGCAGAGTTGACCCCTATACGAAGTTGGCGCAGAGACCTCAAGAAAACTGATTCCGTCCCAAAGTATCTTGATACCAAGATGGGTACTGACGACGATACTATCAAGAGTGCGATTGATGTCAACTCTGTTAGCCATACGATAAGGCACTTGAACTCTTTCGCCGTTCACCTTCACCCTCATCCTTTGACCGAGATTGACTTTTAGATCGTTGATCTTCAAGGAGATGGTTTTGGTCCAAGCGGACAGCCGCGTGTCGCGTGCGTCGTTTGTCACGCGGATACTGAAGGTGTGATTGCTACAGTCGCTCGTCAGCTGGTACTTGCATGCACCGCGAAACGTGTAGAACTTGCCGTCGAATGTACGGTAGTGGGGATCGCCAAACACCGTGCACACACCGTCGCCTTTGCGTTCAATTAAAAATCGATTCAGTTACATTTCATTCGGCTGTCATTCATCGCGGCATTTTTTTTTTTTTTTTTGTTCATTTAGAGCCAATTCTTGGAAGAAAAAACGTTTGACCGTCTTCATCAACAATATTTCATTAATAATTGTGGCGTGAAATTGAAAGGAGAAGGAAAAAAAGTCGAATCGGCCGGATCGTAGTTCGAGAAGAACGAGAATGAGACTCACTTTCAACGCATCGTGGACAGCACTGGCCTTCGGGCAGTTCCATACGCGAATTCGGCGGACAGGGTTCGGTTAGAGGCGGACACATGGACATGGCACAGCGCACCTTGCCCTGCTTGCATGCGCACGACTTGCAGGGATCTAGCTTCCAAGTTTCGCCATCCTGCCTAGGAGAAATTAGAACGTTTACAACCACAGACTATGATGCAAGGAGACACGGCGATTATTGTCTGTCTTTACCGTTCGATGTTAGTGCGCTGTCAACGAATATTCTCCGGCAAACATGTGAGAGGCGATAAGCGTATATGCATAGAACAAAATAGATCGTGCGATGCAAGCATTTGTGTTAGGTGATGTCTGTTAATGAGCTTTTCTTCTTTTGTCTGGATGAGTTTGCGTTTATTAGCGAAATGGAACTGCGTACGTACGGATTGTTTTCTGTATGCTTGCGCTCCGCTCGACATTCGGTCAATGCGTTAATGATGCTACATGGCGATACTATTGCTGGCGTGTTAGTGTATTAAAGAAACTTTGGCGATAATTTCATTTGAAACAGTATCTTTATTTTTGCAAAAGGCGCATAAGTATATGTTAATAAAATTGAAATGATGGATAGTTAATTAATACTGATGGTACGTAGATTACACGAGAAATGGTATATATAATGCGACAGACTCAGAATAGTGTTGCGATAGATCTTTTTTTGTACAGTTAAGTGCTCGTGGACGACATCACATTTGTTCATCAAATTGTACTTGAATTCGATCACCAAAAGTACAGTAGCGGCGACAGGACGTTACGGATCGTGAAAAAGCTTTGTACGGATGAAAAGCAGTGACGACGACGATGTGCGATTGAAAAAAAATACACAGCCCAAGCTTGTAGAGAGGGTAGTTCAAACGAAACGTTCAAAAGGGGATAAGCATGGCAAGTAGCAGCAGCAGCAGCAGCAGCAGCGCGATAATGGTACTCGCCACGTAAGTTCTGCCGGCGTAGACGCAGGCAGCGCGCGACTCCTCGATCACCGGGCATTGAGGACAGCAGCGTCCCGGCAGCTTGGTCTGGTATTCGCTGGCGCACTCGAGCACCGGGCAGGTTTCCTTGGTGCACAGTATCGCCGAGTTGTGGCACGAGCAGCGCGTGCACTCGTCCAGATAGATCTGCTGGCCCGACTTGTGGAAGGTGGTGCCGAGGATGCAGGCACCTCGCGGCGGCATCAGATACTTGCCGCTTCCTGTTGGCGTGCACAATCGGCAATCGTTGACACTTGCGACCTCGCGCGCGCCAAGGCAGAACGAGCGCGCCCTTACCTTTGCATCGCGGGCAGCACTCGCCTGGCTCGTGAACGATCCTCGACACCGGGCAATGGAGCACCGGGCATGCTTTCTTGGCGCAGGTCAGCCGGCCCTTGTTGCATCTGCACGCGACGCACGGATCCTCGGTCGTCGTGACGGACCTTTCCTCCGTTACCTTCTGCCCGTTGACCAAGCAACCTGCGAACAGCGCCGGCGTCGTTACCAAATCATCGAGACTCGACCACGACTACCGAGCCACGGCCAGCCGGCGTACCTGCGCAGGTGGGACAGCACTGTCCGGCCGCCGGTGGCACGGGACTGCCGCAGGGAGTGTAGCATCTCAGCTTGGATTCCGTGACAACGCCAGCGTTACACGTGAATATTCTGCAAGGATCGGCCGGATCCGTCCACTCGGTACCGGACTGATGATGAATGTTGTTTTTCACGCATCCTACCGCATGGCATTTCAATGATTATCAGCTTCCTCTCGTCTTTATTAGACTAGGTCGCGATGATGCATTCACCGAGTGATTTATTGCGCAGATTGGAGCGAGCCAATCTATACATTGATTTTTCCGTGTAAATAATATGCGAAACGAGCCGAGCTTTTCACGTGCTTCACACGCGCTACGCAATGCGTGCTTCAAAACACTCGCTGGGAAAAATACGAGCACCGAGGCAGACATCAATCATCTCACGGCTGCGGCCTATCACCTTAATGAGACAAGATCGCGCGCGAGAAACTTATTATTACGGCGTTCGATGTAATCATTTTCCCATTAGCATTTCCCATACATCAAGCGCTCGCGATTTCAGAGGCGAGCGACACACGTGGTCCAGAAACTATCTCGCAAAAACATTCCGACGAGGAAAAACGAAGCGACAAAGAAGAGAAATTATAATCTCTCTCTCTCTCTCTCTCTGTCTCAATCAATCGTTGCGCCGAGTGTCGGCGGCGTCTACAAACGAAAAGCTATCGGCGCGATACGCGTCCGTCTCGCGCGCGGAGAGCGACGAGAAACAATTATTGCAAATGCCGACGCGACGCGTAAACAAAGCGGCCGGGAGAAGGGGAAAGGCGATCGCGAGTTCGTTTCTCCGGTTCGCGCGCGGAGTGGCTATAAATCTTACGTCACGAATTAACAGCGGCAGCGCGGCGCTGCTGCGTGCCGCCGAGACACGTTTATCGCACATGCTCGTCTGCCTTATAAAGTCGCTGCCGCGTATTTTTCAAATTTAACGGCTTTCTTTCCCTCCACTTGTCGTTACTTTGCTCGCCGCCGACGATCATTCGCGGTAATGATATGACTGTGTACGATGAAGAGAGAGAGAGAGGGGGTGGGGGGGAGAAAGCATGATATCATAGTTATTTTCGAATCGCTCGATGAATCTCGCGCGACTGTTCTCAAGTGTTCCTCGGACGTGTGTTATTTTTAACCATTTGTGAAAGGGTAATTTAGATTATCAACGGGCGCAAAGTGGAGCAGCTTCTGCACTTCTGCGAAACGCGATCGCGTCGGATTTTTCCCTCGGCGTCCCGGCGAAACTTCACACGCGCCGCGCAGTTGGCAAGTGCCGGCAAACGACTCGATCGGGCACGTCACTTCGAGTGTCAATCTGCGTAGTGTCATATCCGCGAGGATTGACAGCGACCAAATTGGCGCATTCGCCGATGAAGCCGTGCGAGCGAAAAGCTGACGTTCGCGGACAGCTGGGAACGTAGCTTGTACGTAGCCCCGGGCGGTGCCCCGTCGTGTTCTCGTGTGACGTGCGCCTGCCCGTGTCCTCGTAGATCGGGCCGACCGCGAGCTCGGCCTTGCGCTACTTCTGCGCGCGCGCTGCTGCTAATCCAATGAAGCGCTTTCGCCTAAGCTCTCGTTCGGCCGTCCGGCGTGCAGCTTTCGCCAGCAGGCGTGTTCCACCTGGTTCGCGCGGCTACGTGACACGCACAGACCATTGTTAATTGAATTGACGACAAATCGCAAACCGAGAATGAGCTGACGCTTAGCTCGATAATGTTTTATTGCGATTTTAAGCTAGCTCTTATTACACCGGTCCGCTCACATGTTCGGCTTTAACTCTAATCAATATATCCCTATAATAGAGCGCAAAGCGTCTAATCCCGAAGATGCGACGTACACCGAAGCCATATTTGAGACCTACCTTTGCACTTTTGACAGCAATCGTCTTTTTTTCGTTCGAGGAGCATGTAGCAGCCCTCGATGCTTGGACACTGCTGCTTCAGACACTCTACAAAACCATTCTGCAACACGAAAAGATACACGCGTTCAATCTTTTTTTCTTTTTCGTTGCTGATTGCGCGTTAAAATGCGAGTACGTTCAATTAACAAAAAATATCACTTTCTTATAAGGTCGCTTTTGTGTAGAAAATCGAAGAAAAAAACATACACATTTCTCTCCCCCCCCCCCCCCCCCCCTCTCACTCTCTCTCTCTTGACGACGACGACGACGACGATGATCTAAATGCAAATACGTTAAGGATCATTTTACGACTACCCTTGGGAGTTTCGCAAATGAAGGCTCACGCGAATGAATTTGAAAAGGAAATTTATCGGTGTTATTTTTAATGGGCACTCGCTGTGCTGGCCATCAAAGAATAGCAAGTGCTACGCTTGCTCATACATATCGTGCGGAAGATGCGATGCGCGTCGTTGCTGCAAGGCTCATCGCTCTTAAAGGAACGAACGGGGAGCGCAGACTGCGAAGCTTGCGCAAGCTTCGCCGATGGAAATCGAGCGGTGCCGAGTGGAATTTGATACGCGCGCGCGCGCAAGAGCCATCGGCAAGTTAACGGGCGTTCACGACAGAGGAGGCGCGCGCTGCGATCGGTCGGCTCGTATACAAAACGGATTCGCAGTTCCGCCGGGGGCAATAGCGAATAATTATGTCACGACGTAGCCGCGCTCTCGCGTACCCCCTCCTTTGTTACTCGAGCTGCCGCTGCTGTGTACTCGCGGTCGCGTGGCAAATGCCGCTCGCGACGTAAACAGCATACAAGCATCACGTGTGCGCGTCTGTGAGTGTGTATCTATCGAAGCCAGCTCGGCTCTGCTATTATACCAGCGATGAGTCAATAAACTAACTTTGCTGCTCGACTGATAAAGTACAGGCGCTTGTGTGTATACCCCAATGTCTTATAAACCGTTTTGTAGTTTCGGAGTAGAGCTTCGAGATTGCTTTTCTTTTTTTTTCTTTTTTCTTTGTTGATTGATATTCTGTTCTTTACTTGGTGAAATAGTCGTGTTTGATTGCACGCTAAATGTGCTGTTCATTGCAAAATTTGCTGATACAGTTTCAAGAAAAAAATCGAATGTATAGAGCGGCCAAAGTTATGACATGCGTGACAAGAGAAATCGAACAAGCGACAAAGAGTGTCGTAGCGAACGAACGCTAAAAGGCTGATGGATGAGCTCCCATTGAAGAGTTATTGATGTAACGGCACGTCCATAAAAGTCCAATTAACGTTAACAGTGACATGTGGAAAGGCATTGCTGCGCGGATTGCATATCTCGACGTGGTCGCTAGCGATCGTGAAATCTAATTGGAGACAGATCTCTTTCTGTATGTGAAAATGTTCGCTCGCGCGTAACCTAATTGATATTTCATCGTAACAATTGGTATAAGTCGACATCGGCTTAACTGATCGCCCACTGAACGCAATCGCGTCGCGCTGTTTGTGCATCAAATCGACGCGGCATGACAAAACAAAACGATCTCCGACCCAAATCCTTGCTCTACTAATATTGTACGAGATCAAGTACCATACAAGGGTTTTGGATTGATGGGGTCGTTTTCATCCATCGTTACTCACTCTATTCTTAAAACCGCTTCATCCGATTTTCAAGATTTCACTGTTTTCAGTTGCAGAAGGAGAGCTTAGTTTTCCAAGATGACGTTACATATATATATATCAATGTATTCGTATCTACAAATACACGAATGAAGTCTAACAATAATACATTTGATTACCTTGCAGATGCAGTTGAAGCATTTTGTATTTGGTATTTTGTCGACGGTGAAGTCTTCGCCTTCAACGTCGCACGTCTCTCGGCTACCTGTAACAAAAGTAATTGTGACTTCAACTTAAAAGTAACTAAATGTCTAAGTCGTATTAGATTATTGCATGCACATTCGAACAATCGATTATTATTGTAGTTTACGTTTAGTTTTCAAAATTCAATGACAATTCAAAGCCTTTTAGTAGCATCGTACATCTTCCATCGAAATGAGTCAATGGGATTCGAAGTACAGTCATTATTGAAATGAAAGGGATAGACGTGCCTTTCTCTTCGCGAACGCAATCGTCGATGTGCAGAATGAATTCACCCCTCGTGTCCGACCGTCGCGCAGGCATAAAGAAATTAAAGCTTTATGCCAACGTTGGCTTTTCATTCATCATCGCCCAAGCTTCGTCATTGACATCCCTCCACCCCTCGATTCAGCCCTACACCAAGTGAAAATTCATAAGTCTGCGTGTATCTAATTTAGTCGTGCTCATTTTCTCTGCGTCCACTCGATACGCATGACTCAGTACGCACATGCTTCAACAGGGCCTTCTGGAGGGAGATGCGCGCTTATCTACCCCACAAGGGTCAGCGATCGTACGACTGTTTACCTCGCGTTCAGAATTGCTTTGTCTTTTAATGCCAAGGAAGTATTGTACGAGAGTACAAGCCTGGAATAACGGAAAAGTTTCCTTCGCAGTAATATTGTCGATGATTTCTTATTAGAGGAGAAAAATACTATAGTTCGGTAAAATTCTATTGCGTTCAAAGTATTTTCGATAAATCACAGACATAAAAATCGTTTTTGATTCATCTCAACGACGTTTGTGATTCATCTCATGCACGTGACATTCGCTCTGGAGATTTCACTTCAGCTATTTGAAATCAAGATCTCGATCACAGTGCAATTTTAAAATACACCTGCAAAAGTCTCGAGACTTGGCTATGATTCCGTGAGATAATGTCTTATCTCGTGGGATTATCTTTGCACAGCACGATTTCAGTATTATGTCTAGTTTAGTTTTAAGTATTTTAATCGCGTATGGAAAAAGGACGCTATCATAATTTTTTTTATGCATTAACATTTTATATAATGCAAATTTGGAGTTGTTTTTTTTTATACTTGAATAAATGAGTTCTATAACGGAGTAAAAGTTTTTTTTTAAACTTGGGAAATCATTTTATCGCTTTATTAATTAGCCTGATTAACAGCTTCTTAAAAGATTGATTTGATAAAACTTGAAAGTGCGTATAGATAAGTGAAATAAATAATTCAGTAAATTAATCCTCTTACGAAATCAACTAAAGCGAGCTTTTAGAGAGTATGCGATAGTGTGATATTCTCACTAGAGTATCAACTAGTTTTGCATATTAAAACTTGCTGAAATAGCATCAATGATTTTGATATAAATAAAATAAATTCTTAACCCACATTACATTTTTCATTGCCAATGTGAATTTCAAATGTAATTAATGTTGATATCGTATTTCAATACGGTTGATTTGCAATTATTTTGCAACAAATTTCGTATATGTAATTATGTCGGGCGAGTTACTTAAGTACAACACACACGCATAGGCGAGGAGAGAGAAAAAGGGACGAATAACACTACCTATAGCGCAGTTGGATTGCGTCACCTATCAACTGGTAGCAACACATGTAGAATTGCGTGCGCGGATTTCCATTCGGTTTAGTAGAAAGTGTGGTATCGATGTCCCCGCAGGCTGACCCGTGTTGTCGTTAGAAACTTGCGCGTGCGGCCGCGGGAATACGCACGTTAAACCACAAACTTTTTTGGAGTGCATTTCAACGTGTCAATCCTTTCGTTCGTTCGCAAACACGTAGAAGACACTTGACTCGAATCATCAAAAATCGGTAATCAGTGAAATACATTTTCGAAGAGTTTCCATAAATTGCAAAAAAATCTATTTCGGACTTCTGATGATGTAGCGTGACCATATTTTTCAACCATTACTACATATTTAAAGTCTAATTCTCTTATTTTTCACGTGAATATAAGTATCCATGTTAACCATAATTATTGTAATGGTTTGCATAAAAGTACTATAATTCGTAATAATTTAAAAGATGAATATCAAAACAAAATATGCTGCTGTATGATAAATTGATTAAATCATCGATACACATGAGGGATAAACTGCTCATACTCAATCTTCATAAATTATCCGAAGGATGCAACAAGTACGTTGATTTCCATACGTTTGGTGGATGAAATACCATATATGCATATATTGATATTCTGAAAAGGTAATTTTATAAGCTATAATTGCTTAATAATGCCTAAGCAATTTAACCTGCACTGAATAACACATCAAAACGATTAAGATAACGTAAGTATATATGGCACGAATAGGCAATTGACATGCTCGAGAACACGTGTAAAAGTTGCGGCATTGTAGCCCGCGCGTCTATGCCAGCATTGCGCAAGTACGTGTATACGTGCGCGCGCGCGCGCGCGCGAATCTGCGCGTCGATCTCGCTGCTATACATCGAGTCGGGGTAGGGGAACAGAGTGAACGAAGTGCGCGCGGCGATAGAACGATATGCATGTCACGGCCCCAAACTACGGCCAGATCGCTTTGCGCGCGCATGCATTCGTACATCAAGTGTTACCTTACTGATCTCGTTTGCGCTTTGATTTATATCCGTGCTGGCTGCGCCTGAACTGCCCTACAGCGCTCCGCAGGCAGGTAGCAAAAACACAAGTGCACCGGATAAACAATTGTCACTTCTTTTGCGTAGATTGCTTCGTTATTATTATTATTTTTATTATTCACAAAAAAAAATGGTGAATAAATAAACAATAGACGGGAAAAACAATTTTCTTTTAATATCGCTTCCCATGTTTCTCTACACTATGCCAGATGAAGCATCGACAACGCAACGTTATTAGCCGAATAATATGCAACTGCACTCAAGGCAGCTCTCTCTGTCTCTCTCTCTCTCTCTCTCGCGCGCATGACCACGAGCGAAAGCCTCTTCGTCATAATGATCTCGGTTTCCCGCTCGCGCTTTCCCGCGCTATCTCCTTGGCAGACGGCGCGCGCGACTGAAAATGCGCAAGTGCCGCGGCTCCTCGTTCCGGTGATACGTTCGATTAGCGTCGTCGATCGCGCCGCCGTCGCGCGACGATCATTGCCCGCGCGGCAGGTACGTGTCGGCTCGTTGCCTTTAGCTACAGTCGTCCGCTCGCGTCGATTGCGCGGCAGTGATCGATCGCGTCCGCGGATGCGTCCTGTATTCAAGCAGACAGATTTTTGTTTGCTTTTCTTCTCGTAGCGCTCGTTCGGCAATATCGAACGTTCGGGCGCTTCCGGCATACCGTTTGCCCGAACGAAAATACTGGACGCCCGTCTGAAAGTGAGACGCGTTACTCGTTCGTGATGCAATGGACAGTTGCGCGGATTCAGTACTTATTTGCAAACTGCACAGATTGCTCAAGCAAAAATAATGTTTTCCCTCGGGCCACGTGATTTACAAATACACATCTTAATTCGATGCGCGCGACGAATGCAGTCCTTGCTGAAGCGTTGGCAAATTGACAATATCCATTGCTCAATCGGAGATCCGAAACTCATTTCGAGTTTCCACCGGGAAAAGGAAAGTCGCGATTAGAAGAAACTTATTACAAGTAGAAACGTTGCGCGCGTGATGCGCAAGATAGTTACAACCACCGAGCACGCAAAGAGTGAGATAAGCCTCTAACAATCGGGATTATGCATCCATACGCAGCGCGCGAGCCTCGCCAAGCCGCACAACTCGCTCGTATTAGCGTAGAGCCGCGCAGCGACACCTGCGCCAGAGGTTGTCGCGCGGGACGGTGCGCCTCGTTTGCGATTTGGCGCCTGGCCAGATCGCGTTTTCGTTCATCGAACGGACGAGCACGCGCCGAGAGACTCGCTGATCGGCGGCAAAAGTCTTCCATTAATTTTTTATCGGCCGCTCGTGTCTTATCGGCCGATGGAGTCGGCAAAAGGACAGAGAGAAACTTTCGCTCGGGACTTTACGCTTCCCTTATTATCGCGGATCGAATAATTATCGGAGAGGGCGCTCGTGGATGTCGAATGGAAATAATTGCGTGAAAAGAAACAGAAAAAAATAATTGACGAGAAACGTTAACGGCTCCCCGGGCGTCATAGAAAGCGACCGAGGCGAGCGAGCGAGCGAGCGGCGAACGCGCCGTACGCAAGTTATTGAAATTGATCGATAGACAGTGGAAGCTGGGCGAAACTATTTGAAATAAACGGGTCGAGCGAGCACGCAACTGGTTTATCAGCACGCGTCCACGCTCCACTTTCAAGTGATATTAGCGCGCGGCGTCGCGGCGCTGTCTGCGCGTCTTCGGCTGCATTATCATCCGTGTTGTGTTGTGACGGCGGGTCGAACGACGACAATGCGACGCGGCCGAGCGCGGGGCTCGGATTTCGGATTTGCGCACCTGCCCCTCGACGACGATCTCGCCCCTGAATCCTCGGCCGTCGCGCGGGGACGCTTGCGCGGCGCGCGTTTCATTTGCATACGCGCGCACCGAGCCGCGTCAGAACGGAAAACGGAAAATCGCGAAGGCTATCGGTGCGCCGCGGTGCCTGATTTACAAAGTGCTCCGCGATAACGAATCTCCGCGCATGCTGTATGAACAAGATTACAACACGCGCATTATCTCTATCGCGAGAGAGAGCGAAGTCACTTTAACGTGTACGCAGATAAGACGAGCGAGCACGTGCCGGCAAGAGAACCAACGCATACGCGCCGGCGCATTTCATTAGAGTCCGTCATTGTTTAGAATTGAATTTGCCGTTTATCGAATTCCGCGCGTTCGCGATTATACGCTATTTTACGACGGGGGAAGAGGAGGTGATAGCGAAACCGTTCGAACGTTCAATAGATAGCGATGTTTGTCGATAATGTGCCCAAAGAAGTGTATAGATCATTGGTGAAGCTGCAGAATGGGGGAAATAGTCCTTGGACGCTCGAACGCATCATTGTTCATCGTCGAAAATAGCCTCACCTCGTCTCGCAATCCGCAAAATTCAAGACAAAGTTTTACAACGCTCGTAATGCTCGATGTAAGCTTCTTCGAGATATCGCTATGAGTTGTTACTTTGGCTCGCGCTGTACATCATTCTGAAATATTGCAAGAATGCTGTGCATTACTTACGCGCTAAGTAAACTACTGCAGTTGCCCTCGGAAATATTTTGGAAAATATCCAACTTCTCCTACAGTTTAAAATGCAGGACAATTCTTCCTTGAATTCTTATTCCTATTCCCCCCCCCCCCCCGTCCCGGCAACAGAATCTTACCATCGAATCAAAACACCCACAAATATGACAATGTAAAAAGCTGACCTTTGATGCTCTCGGTGGCAACGCCGCAAGCGGGTAGTCCGATGAACACGGCCAGGCCAAGTAGAACAATCGGTATCCTGATGAGGTATAGTGTCGAGCCCATGGTGCTGCTGCTGTAGAGGCGGCGGTGGCGGCTCTGGCGTCGTCGTGGCCGCGCTCCTCGGGGGCATGTAATCTGCAAGAACAACATAGACCAATTGACACCTCGAGCGTACGCGCAGCCTGATTTTTTCGTTGTTTAGACGTCGCTGATTATCGTCTGTATCCGAAAGTTGGCTCCGTTTATGCTTCCGCGACCGGCGAGTGCGAGTGTACTCGCGCACGGGACACCGCCTTGTATTGGGAGCATCGACGGATCGTTCGTCTAATTGACCGAAGTTTAAGAGCGCAATTTACGGATGCTCAGCCCTGTTCCACTCTCGCGCGATGTGCTGCGTTGTAAGAACGCGCTCGGCCGAATATTTTTCCATTCCATGCGTCACTCGATACCGCCCGGTACGCTTGCTCGACAAACGTTGCATCGGATTTTTTTTTTCCGAACAGCCGGAGCAGTATACTTTTGAAAGCTCGTGGCCTATGCGCCAAAAAATTTTGACAGAGCGTTCGCATACTGTACCTCAATTACGTATGCGTGCATCGTGATAAAAATTGAACTTGTAGAAATTCGATGCGTACGCGTACGTAACGATGAAAGAAAAAAAAAAGAAAAACGTCTCTTATAGGTCGGTTCAACGTAAGAATTAAAAAAAATACCGAGCTTAGAATACAAAGCAACCTCGGCAGCCGCAAGCCGTCAGTGTGGTCTCCACTTGTCGAGAGGATTGCGAAGGTATGTTTGTATGCATAAACACGTGGAACGAGAGAAAGAGAGGGAGAGAGCAAGCGCGATAGAAAAGAAAAATAAACCTCGAGTCTGACAGTGAGCATGGAGGGGGATAAGGGCTATTACAAGCTAACGTGGCTGGGTGTTACGAGTGAAGCGCGAGACCATTCGCTAACCAGCAGCGACTGTGCTAGGCACCTGCACTCTTTCGCCTGGCCTTTAATCAAAATCTCATCGTGGCGCTTTACGCTGACTACTCCGCTAGCGGAAATCCGAATGGTTCGTTTGGTCGGGCACGCGTTCCCGTGCGTGGGGCGAATCGAGCGCGCGATCAAATGCGAACGAGCTTAAAAGAGCATTGTTTGCTCGAAGCGCGAAAACTTGACGACGCACCAGTCCTGCGCTGCCGCTGTTTGCCCAACGAGCAGCGGCGACAATGCGTATGCAGATACGGCTGCACGCGCGCGCGCAGTCTGATTTATGGCGCGAATGAGGGAATGACGATTGGCTCTTTGTCGCCGTGATTTGTGGCGGATTAAATCGCTAGGATGGGGGGGGGGGGGAGATTCTCTCCTTTCTCGGTATTATAATATGCACAAGAACGATGTGTATGCGAGAGTGCGAGCTCGCTGCACGGATGATCGATGTTGCTGGCTCCCGGGCTTTTCGCAGGCTGTAATCTACCAGTCCCTCTCTCTCTCTCTCTCAGCGCGCACGAGCGCCTGTTTGCCAAGTGGAGCGGAGTACAGTCTGCACTTGCTACTGGCTTGCTGCATCGAGCTACCGCTGTATGCTCGAGCTCTATGACGGCTCGATCTTTTGCAGACTCATCGGGCTTGTTACGAATTATCTAAATGTACGATCATAGGCTGTTGCGCTCATGATTTGCGCAGATTTCAAGAGATCCGCGCGCCCTTCAATTTGCGATGAGAATGATTCTTTTGCCAATCTTTCTTCGTTATTTTTCATATATCGAGTCCTTCTATTTTTTTTTAGACTTTTCATTTATCTCGTAATATTTCATTTATATCAGGTTAATCAACGTTTCACAATGCTTTTGGTAAACGCTTTCGAGTAACGTTTATTCATTGCAACATTCGACCGCTATCAACGACCTTCAGTCCGCGCTTCCTTGTTTCACACGGACAGACGAGCAATATATCGTCGGCTCTGGCTGTCCCCAGTGCGATGCCAAGAACGAGCTTTATAGATGCAGGACACACCATAAATTTATGTAATTGTCCGTTACGATGCTTACTTATAGCACGGATGGCGCTTCTGCCGTTGCCGTGACAAACAAAAAAGTAGCAAGCGCGTACATTTTGGCGTTCGCTCCGCTCGTTTCTTTAAAAAGCTATTGCTTCCCACGGGCGAGATTTTTCCATTTTCCTCTCGGGTTTCCGTGCCTTGAAGCTTTGAAGCCCGAGCAGCGCTTTCGTTGCTGGAGTACGACTGTACACCGTATGAATTATTTGTTGTACAGTCGAATTCACAGCAAACTTGACAAAAAGATACAATACAAATTCGATTGAAAACAAAGTCGAGCGCGCGAATTAACGATTTTTAATTGCCTGCTATGATAGTCAGGGCGGATACTCGGCAAGCGTATCGGCGTGGATAAGAACTGAAAAAGAGTGCAGCGAATTTCATGTAAACATCTTGCTCTCGATATAAACGCATGAATCACAGCTGTGGATTTTTGGGGGCAAGACGAGCGAACGCTCATTAGACCACTGAATCACCGTAGCCATGTGCCTTTTTCGCGTCTTTTTTCTTTTCATTCTAACAATGAGGTGATACGCGATTGCGGATGAAAGGAATTGATGGTTTCTCTAATAAAAGCGCGAGATTGCGTGGGATTGCGTCACTGCGCTATCGTCGGCGAATCTTGCCTTGCACGTAACGTCAAATTACAAATGACAGATTTTTATTATTGATTGTTACGGAGCATTCGAGTTATATAAATGCCAAGTCGAATGATTTAATTAATAAGGCTATAATGACAAAACTTTCACAATTTAGCATTACAGCTACCGATCTGCTGGATGTTTTCATTATGCGTTGATACAAGCCAACGAAATAATAACGAAATTTCGCAATCTCAGATCTTTCGATCATGCTGTACAAATGAATTTAATATATTTCATTGCAATTAAATACCCCCGGGATATACGTATTCACCACCAAATAATTATAACTGATTCATCCCGCTGTTAGAATACCTGCCGTTAAGATGATTGTAGCGTGCTTACTTCGTAATTTCGTACGCTATATATAATTTTATGAGTAATAAATTCTTCAAAAACAACGTACACTCTTTCTATTGCATAATAACTATTTCAGATAAAGTTTATTATTGGAAATTAAGTAACATAACATTTGCAACCACACTAATATAAAAGAAAACAAGACTTCTTAAACAAGAATCTTATCTCAGTTTTGATAAATTTATACAAAAAAGCAAAACACTCGGACAGCTCATCCTCCCATGCCTTCCACACAAAGTGCAGAAGGTGAGCGATCACCGATGACTGGGAATGTAGACAAACAGAGTTCCCGAGTCGTCCTTACACTCAGGAAAGAAGAGATTCGTCTGCTCATCGTGGTTGCATCGACTCCTACTTTAGGTAGAAAGTTTGTGAAACTACAGAAATGATCACGTGAAGTATGATATTGTCTTTTAAAAACAATTTATCTCAGTATCTTTCTTGATGATAGCGTTTTTCGCTAACCATCTAGTGAGCGCAATATTCAACGACACTATTGGTCGACATTCGGTGACGGTAGAGTGGGGAACTCTAGAGTCGAGAGTTGAGAGTGATTATGTAAGTAATCATTCTTCACTTTATAGTTTGATATACGCCCTCGTCTTATGCTTATTTTGAATATTGTAATATCAATTTTACGTTGTATTACATACCTAAATTAAAAGATTTGCGTATTCGATAATAAAATTGATAGTAGATAATGTAAGAAAGTAAAAACATTCACAATTTCTGCTTCGAAGTTTTTCAGCCGAGATCGTACAATATAAAATATTTTTTCTATCGAAGTGGGATCTTACATTTCAAACTATTCTAGCCAAAGAAATTATTGATTTTATTTTTCAAACTTTCATAAACGATACATTATATTTTGTATGAACAGCTATCTTCACAAGTCTGATAATCACAATACAACGTAGGCTTTCATTATAAACATTTGTGCTCCGTCATTAGTGTAAGTTAAGATGTCGAATAAAAGATGAGTTCCAGAAACCAAATTTACTGGTAAACCCGTAAGATCTATGATATAACCTTCCTGATGGTATTTTCCCTAAATAATAATACATAATATTATAGACAAAATGAATCTTTGAATTGTTTTAATAGTCAAAGCACTATATTTATGAGTAAAACCTAGCTTTTTCCATTATAACATTCGATTCTAATTTTCAATTATGCTGCATATTTTTTAAATATATCACTTTAGGTAACCAAGAAGAAAATTATGCTAACAATAGCGATTAATATCTGAATTATGCTATTTCAGATTTTATTTTATGTTCAATATCCAAACTCTAAATTATTATTATTATATTAGGTATACCTTTTTTAAAGGACAATGGAGTCCCAATGGGTCCAATAATCTATTGATATATTCTTTCATGTAACCAACATTTAGACACATTTCACCATCGATAGACAATCCAGTTGGAATATAATTGCCAAAAACTCGAGCTGATGCGGTGCACTTTAACTTCATTACATTTACAATTGAAATTACGTTATTTTGAAAAACTCGACTATTCCTTTCTGATTAAGCGATCATTTATAACTTACACGCATATCCGCCGGCGCATCTCGAAGTATATCTGCCGTATACGTAAGAGCATTTTTTCCATCAGGTCGAAAGTCGATTGAAAGGTCAAAGGTTTCCGGATCGAAATACGATTCGTTAAGATAATCTACTTGAATATCTTCGAAATAAACACCTTTAGGAGCACTCTACGGTTAAAACAATAAATCAAATAGTAATATTATGTTTTACCGAGTATTCCAATGAATAACAATCATTCGATGCGCGTGTACCTTCGCATGCACTTCACCATTCAGATTTCCATAAATTAGCAAAATTAGAGGTAATAACGACAATAACGAGAAGGATTTTCTACAGCCGAGCATCTTAGCAAGAAATAAAAATGGCCCTGTTATAAATATTAATAATCGAGGCTTGAGGCTTGAGGCTTGCGGTATAATAAAATACAATTGAAAAAACGAAAAATAAAAAAATTATTCACATGCTCAAACTGCGGTACAAGTATCAAACTGAAACGTGAGATGTTGCAGCGTGCTTTTATATTGAAAAATACCACTATGGTACCATCGATATGAAAAAATTAGTACGACTTCCTAAAAATCAATTTGGTCTCTATTGTTCCTTGATTTTGAATAGACTCGTCCATAAACTAGCGACATGCTCATTACATGATAATAGTTCTTTTTACGTATATAACAACTTTGTCAAAATACCGATATGATTTTCGCAACGTCTGCCTCCTAGTTTTGATGCTCTTATTGTATGTTTTTTTGGATCGTATCTTAATCTGTAATTGATTTTACACTTTAATATGTGCAAGATAGAGTTTTGATGAAACTATTGAAAGATTTAACGATACCACTTATTTTTTTCTTGAATAAAAATGACTCGTTTCGAGAATTTATTTCCGGTAATCCTTAATATAATAAAAAAACTGGAAGCTTTATTAGTAGCGGAAAAATGGCGATAATCTGTGTAAGGAGTACCGATGTCTCCTTACGTTATCTGCAAGTCTTTGGTACGAAGTGTTGGTTAATTATGACTCATTGATTCAACCTTTCGATAGCGAGTTTGGCTTTAAGACGAGCCTATTACCGACCACGAGCTACTAACTACCTATAATATTCACTCCTGTTCGATTGTACTCGATTGACTGCTGGTGCGCGCACTTGTTTCTTTCTTTTTTAACGCAGTGCTTGTCTCGAACAAACGAATTAAAAACCCAAGCTTGATAGGTCGATTTCTGCGCACTTAACTTCGATTGCAGAGACTTTGTGTTGCATTGGTCGGCTTATTTTCATTTCTTTTCTTCTTTCATTTTCGTGGTAGCTCTCGATCGATTATGTTATAGATTACATGGAGAATTATAAAACGAGTTTTATCAGTCGGCTCGCGAGTTTCACACGCGGCAGCTCATTTGACAGTTGAGTTATGAGCGTCTCATTTTCGAGCGTTTTAGCACGAAACTCACACATATCGCTGAATATTTTTAGGCTTCAATTCAATTCGCATTTTACGTTGCACTGCGAAATGATTTCTCATTTGCTCAGCGTCAACATTTATTGGATGAGATTTGGTACGGCATCCAGCACGCAAATTCAATTGTTAGGTTTTACGATCAATATTGAGTTTCCAAAGTAGCCATGAAAACGTTTGTGGTATTCGTGAAAGTATTCATTCTGAATAGGCGTTCAATTACCACGAATAGTCCGATAGAGTTCTAAAGGATTGTCTAGCTAGCAACTCGCGCCAACTAATTAGAAAAATTCAGCGCGTTAGGCGCTACCAATGATTTAGTGATAATAAAACAGAAACTATACGTAAGAAGTTTGCGAGCAGGGTGATACAAGGAAAGCAAGTGCGAGAGAGAGAGAGAGAGAGAGAGAGAGAGAGAGAGAGAGAGAGAGAAAGAAGGGCAATCTTCATAGCGGTATATATAAATCGATGCACGCTCGCGCATAAGTCGCGCGGTGCCGCAGTCGAGTGCTGATAGTGAAAGGCATGAGATGACAGACGCGCCGGCAAGAAGCAACGGAATACAAGTAGCCCGCAGCTGTTGCGGCATAATCTAAAGCGTCGTTTATGACACTGGGCACTTCTTTGTATACGTGCAAACGATTCGAATCCCGATTTCCCGTACGATCGAGATGCGTCAGTTGTTGTTGGCGAACTACATTAGATGCGCAAAACTATATACTTGTTTTGATAAAAAAAAAAAGAAAAAGGAAAAACGTAGCAATACGAGCCATTGACCTCGTATCTGCAATAGACTTGATATCGCACAGCCCAGCACTAACCACAATAGCCGCGGTCGCGCCTCGGCGATATTCCGCGCGGCACTAAAAATAACCAAATCAAGTGCGTGTGCGTGTGTGCGAGCCACTGCTATATGCGCGTCTCGCAAGCGCCGCGGCAGCAAAAGAAGCGAAAGCGAAGCCGGGATATTCAAGAAAGAGAGGAGCGAGAGCGGGAGAGAAGGCAGAGCCGTAAATACCTGATATACACGGGCGAGTTTGCGCGCGAAAATGAGAGAGAGAGAGAGAGAGAGAGAGAGAGAGAGAGGACGTCGCGCTGGCGAACGGCGGCAGTGCACCTGCACGGCGCGTAAGCCCGGTAGCGTATCTCGCGGCGGTGGCGGCGGCGGCAGCAACGGCCGATATTTAAATGGCCAATTAACGCGCGCCGCGTTGACATCTGTCAAACGCCCGGGCGAGCGCGCTCTGCTATATATATATATATATATATATATATATTTACACACACGTACACGTGCGTATATACGTATATATCCTCGACGGTCGCGCGTCATACTTTCGCGAGAGCGCCGACGATTTTCAATAACGGTATCGGGCCGCTCGCCAACGGCCGTCCCTTGGCCGGTCCCACGGCGAGGGCGTTCCGTCGAAATCCGCGCGATCGACGCGCGGCTGCGAGGCAACGGCCTTAGACTTTTGTCTCGGGGAGGGACAGGCGAGCGAGAAAGAGAGAACGAAAAGGCGAAGGACGCCGTCGCCGCCGCCGCCGCCGTCGGTATCTCTGTAGCCCCTCGAGGTCGAATCTCGCGAGAATCTCTACGAGAGAGAGGTGGCCAGCGGCCAATTAACCGCCTCTCCTCTGTGTGTACCGGAGCGAAGCCTCTCCTCGCTCGCGTCTGCCTGCGTATGACTTCCTTCAATATATAGTCGCCGATCGTTTGGCCCGCCGTTCGTATTTTCTACGTGACGCCGCTTTTCCCAGAACGAGTTCTCGATTCGATCGTCCACGGCGCGGAGGACGCCTCTAACCATGCAAATATTTTTTATTGCTCGTTATGCAAAACATTCGCTCGGACAATTCTACATATTTATAGGTTATCTAACAGGTGTCGTATGAAATTTTAATATGAACTTCGTAAAAGTTGCGTAATCTTGCGCGTTTCTTCTTTTTTTTATTCTCTTTTACTTTTCAATGATGCTGACTAATTGTCATATCGTATCGTTTTTCGAAAGTGATGCGATGAACAAATTGATTGTATAGGTGGAGCTCGAAGAAAAAACAAATTAGTATAGCTCGCGTTCTTATAAATATTCTACCAGACGTGTAGCTCCTTGAAATAAGAATTTGAAATGATCAACGTGGGCGCTGATAAAACATTCAGTGGTAACCAATGAGACAAAACGATTTTCGTATAAAAGATACGACGTTTATGCGAATAACAAGTCCGAGCGAGAAGAAAAAAAGATGGCCAAGTTGCCTATATTAGCATTAAAAAAGAAATCTAACGAGACGAACAATAAAGTCGAGATTGGCTTTTTTTTATCGAAAGAAAAACAAACATCGCTGGAAAGCTGGCGCCGCGCGCGGGAAGGATAGCCTAAAGCGCGCGACTGGAAAAAAAAGGAAAAGAAGAAATAAGCGATCGCGCGCGGTCGAATTAATCAGCGACAAGAAGTGGAAGCGCTGGAAAGAGCGAGGGAAGAGAGAACGAGGCTCATTCGGCGCCAAGGCCTGGAAAAACCTTCGCTGGAATTCCAGGGAGTCGACCTACAAACGAGGCGGATCCAGTGGTGCGCGCGCGACACTCGGCGCGCCAAGGAGCTCGGGAATCCAATGTGTCGCAATGCCTCATCTTAACGCACTCGTAAATTTCTCGCGTTTATGCCGGCGTTATAGCACGCGTGTCGCGGCGCCAAGCGCGCGCTCGCCCTCGCGATGCGCGCGTTTACGCGCGACGCCGGACTTTTCGAGCTTTCGCGCGCGCGCACCGCGCTCGTCGCGGATGTGCCGCCCGCGGTCGCGTCATTAGCGTTCGCCGGACGGCGCGCACGCGCGGCTCCGCTGGCGCGAGCTGCGATTCGCGCGGGCGACGCGGCCACTGCAGTTGTCGAGCGCCTGTGCACGGTGAACCGGCCTCCGAGCAAATTAATGGAAGACGACTCAATCGCGCGCCTGGTCCCAGGACGATTAATGATGACGATTGCCGTTAACCTAGCTCAATTAGCTTATCCGTCAATCTCGATTATGTAAATTTCATGAAGAGCATTTTAATGCAGCTCGACGAGTCGACCAATGGGGTCTAATTGCTCGTCGCCACTGATACGGGCGCGCGTTCATCTCGGTGTTTACGCGTTCGAACGGGCTTTCAACGAAAGCTCCTCGTCTCCCTGATGCACGCGCCGGCCGAGCGAAATTTCAATAATCGGTCTTCGAAGCGACGTTCAGCGCGGCGACAATTGAAATTGTAACGCCGCGGCCACTGCTATTAAAGCCAGCGTGACGGCGTAATGCGCGCCCGTCAAAATGAAATTGTCTTTGAGCTTGGAAACGCGCGGCGCGCGGAGAAAATAGGCGCGAGCGCGCCTGGCAACAAGAAAATCAATTACGCAGTTTTGACGGCGACAAGCGCGAGCTCGCCGGCGATCAATCGGCGACGGCGACGACGAACACGTCGGCATGCCGCGAAATCCGGACTTTCCAGTCGCGCACACGCCGCCGCGGCCCACGTAATTACACCTCCGACTCTTTCTGTGCGCGTACGTCTCTGCTCTTTTCTCTTCTCTCTCTCTCTCTCTCTCTCGTTAATTCGCGCTTCGAGCAAGCAACTCGTGATTGACGGCTGTATATAGCTATAGAGAAATTCTGGTGGCTCTCGGAAGGTCGTTCGCGCGACGCTCGTTCTATTTGGTTTCTATTTTTTGAGCCACGATAACGATCGAAAGGTCCGCCGGCTCGCGGAGGCACAGACGCAGCGCTTAGCTACGACCCGCTCCACCCGACGCGCTCTGGTATACGTAATAGTCGTTCATAATCAATGCTCTCCACTCTGCCCTACTCTCGCAAGACGATCGATCGGTATTCCATCCAGCGACTAGTTCATTATTAGACTGTATCGGCCATGCGATCGCGCGCTCGCCGCGGTGATTGCCACAGCGATTTGCTAAATCGCACTGACCTTTCGCGTAGTCGAGTCTGGTTGCGCGATGCACAGCGCGCTTCTTTATCATGCAAAA